CTAGCCTATGAGGCTAAAACAATCACATGAAAATAGCTGGAATTATTTTTATACTTTACTCATCATTTAAGTATGAGTGTTTGTATTTTATATATATATATATATATATATATATATATATATATATATATAGAATTACTTGGCTGAATAAAAATAAAATCAATGTTATTTATAAAGTTGTAATATTAATGTAGAATAAAATTAATAGATTTGCAATTCATTTGGGGTGGTCTTGGTTTTTTTGAAAATTTGGTCGCAATTTAGTTGGGCCTGCAGACGGCCCAATTGCATATTATGACAGAAGCGATGGTTGTAGTTTCAAATAATTATAGATTATTACTAGATTTACAAAATAATAATAGAAATAATAATATTAAAAAAAACAACATTAGAGAGGGCATAGATATAGGGTGAAAAAAAGGATATTATTTATGGTTGTGAGTATCATGCAAAAGTTACTATTTTTAATGTTATGTAATCATATATTGGCGATTTTTATGCAATATAGTTAATAAACGTCCATATATAAATTGGTAATTATTGTATTTAATTAATAAAACAAACACGGGCCATCAGTCAGAGAAGATGCGAAAGAGCATCAGAGCCAACCACCACTGGAAAGCCAATCCGATGAGGTAAACTGCCCTTAAGTAGAGCTAATCCACAAGAATATCCGATTACATAAAATATCTCTAACCATCCTATGGAGACTTCAAAAACTTCTCACTAGTGCTTAAGGATAGTCATCGAGGTTAGATCAGTTGATCAGACCATACCGATCAAGCTCAACCAATCGAGTTGACCTCATCAACCTTAAGCCAATGAAGCTTAGCCTCTGAGCCATAAAAATTCCGGATGATAAACCCATACATTTAGGCTATTAGAAATACCCTAGCACGGGTCCCTTTCAAATGAGGACACAAATATAATATCACAATTTGACCATCTTCCTTATAAAATTGGATAAACATTTTATAAAAAAAGGCAATGATTCAACGCTATCCATTATTGTTCATCTCTCTTTCTCTCTCTATTTCCCACTTTTTCACACTCGCTCAAGCTTCTCTCTCTCTCTCTCTCTTATTATTTACACTTTATTCATTGGGTGTGATTTACAAATAATTTCAGATTCAATAACTTAAAAAGTATGGCAAGCATGGACCATACAACAAACAAATAAAAGAGTAGCCCAATGAGAAGAACTTAATAATAGAGACAGAAGCAACATGGAGTGCACCAAAAGAATTAGTGGTCCAACAAATCCATGAGTTGAAGGATCAAATATTGGAGGTCATCCCATGCACATTATCACAATAAAAGAGATAAGTAACCCCACAATGAAGGAGTGACACCCAACAACCTTAGAGTCCCCACAGCCCTGGAAAGGGAGCGCGACTCTTAATACTATATAGTGTTGGCAAGACACCAATTGATCGGCATAGTTTTGGGCATACTGAGGTACCTCTTCAACTCTATAACACGTTCTCGTGCAAAAATCTCTTAGGCTAAACTCTGAGAGCGATTTTAGATTCTGACACTTGAGTTCTACAAGGGGCATACTGATCCAATTGACCATATATTCACGTTTGAATTAGTTGTGTGCCTACTAAGGGCCTCTAACGTACTGAAATGTCATCTTTTCTTTATTACGTCGAGGATAGAGCGAGAGTATGCATTCATTCATCACCCACTTTCAAAAGAAGATGTTATAAGTACGAGAACAAAATCCAGAATTGCCCATGCCACACTTGCTTACGAGCTGAAGAAAAACCCTTCAGTTACACATTAAGCTTGTAGAGGTTGAAGACGCAAGCCAAGTCATTAGAGGTAGCCAACAACCATATATTGGTTGAGTATAACTCCGCTACTACCACCTCCAAATCACAATCCTCTACCCATTACCAGCAGAAAAGGACCACTCAAGGCAAAGAGTGGAAACTGAGACATAACCACTTCCTTATGTTCGATATCTTTTTAAAGAGGCACAACCGTCTTAAGATCATAGCGCGACCAACATAACACAACACCAAGAGAATTAAACTTGATTTCTTGTCCAACACCCTACTCTGTATGTCAAGCGATTGTTATTTAATCATGAAAAAATTGAAATCAACTTCTTTGAGAGTTTCAATAGTCGAGATAGTGAATGTCATGCAAAATAATAACTAATTTAAGAGGGCGCCCTCGATGAAGACCAAAGCTTACCTTCGGGGTGTGAAGAAATACTGCACATATCATCGGTGATCATGATCACGACACGGATGACTGTCGACACTTCCATAGCTTGATTAAGGAGTTAATCAAAATTGAGAAAGTTGAAGGAAATTGTGACACCCAAAAAAATAACCAAAATGTAGGGGAAGGCTCTAGTTGAGGAAATAACGAACGAGCAAGACAAATCTCACAAAACTTATATTATTGGGGTAATTTATGTAATATTTGAAGGAGATTGAGACTCATCCCACCGAGCCAACCAAAAGAGGCTTCGGTTGGGAGAGTTATGTGCAACTGAGCTCACATCCAAATGCAACTCGTATCCTCCCATAGCTATCGCCAGTGAAGAATTGCCCCCAAGGGTAATCCCTACAACGACACTATTTCTTTGCGCACTGTTATCCAACTGCTAGATCAACAGTATCCTCCTCAACATTAAGAGCTCCATGAACATCCTTTTCAAGTCAGTGTTCATAATGATGGGCCTCATAAGTGAACGACCAACAATTAAGACCAGACAACTCTATTGCTTTTCTCGTAAAAAAGAGGCATTGATAACCATAGCTTTATATATTACATGGGGAGCACGTTCGCTTTCATAGTGATTGACTTGACGGGTACTTACAAGTGTTTTTTATGTATTTATAAATCTAACACCTAAACCTTAATTTTATTTTTATATCAATTTATCTAAGCTTAAAGATGTGTATTTCAAAAGAAATATTTTTTAAGTTATATGAGATATTTAAGTGTTATAATAAAATAAATATTAGAGGTTGGAGATGTAAATACGTAATAATTGCGTTGTATGTAGGTAAATGCCCCAATTATTTTTAGGACAGAATAATTATGAAAGAGATGCTGCGAAAAGTAAATTTATTAAAATATGTATTATTATTTGAATGAATATACCCCAAATGGATGAGTTTGTAATTTTTTAAATTTTAAGAGCATACTAGAAAAAGAATGCAATGTAAAACCCTAAAACGTCTGCCAGAAGCCAATGAAGAGCGGCGTTTCTAACGTTATGGTAACCAGCGGCGACATCACTAATGACTGTAGTCTACAATTTATTTGAAAATCACTAGTCATACTAATTTGAAATACATTGACATTGAACTAATGGTTGTTAGGAATATAAGCAGGTCGAGCGGAGCTCGAGCTGCTTAACTCGAGCCGGACTCATTGTCAAAATACAAGCTCGAGCAAGAGCTCAGAGGAAGAGCTTGAGTCCAAGATCAAATAATTAGCTCGAGTTTAGCATGAGATACTAACAGGAGGTTCGCAAACTTGAATGAAATTGTCATGGGTGCTCATAGGAGACGCCATCCAAGCGATCAATGACAAAAAAGAAGAGATGTCGTGGCAGTTCGTCGAAAAAGGCATCAAAATGGTCAAAATCCAACTAGCCAAGCTTGACTCACGAGCTCATTAAGGTTTCAACTTGGCTTACACATGTAAAGATTGCACTTAAAATTCATTTCAATTTAACTATTCATTTATTTTTCATCAAATCAAATATCTATACTTTCAGAAACCTTTGTTCTGAAATGCAACTTCTATCTTTGCAACAAGTCAAACAAATGTTAAAATTTAAGGATTAGGAAATACTATCAAATGAGAAACTAATAATAGATGCTAAAAAATAAAATAATATTTATTTAATGTAAGATTATAAATAATATCAATCTAAACGAGTAAGTTTTTTTTTTTAAAAATAAAAACAGTATAGAGTTTATGTTTTGAGTGTGATTTACTATTTTTAGTCGGCCAACCAACTCTTCCTCTGACAGCCGACTTTACCTCTAACCGGCCATTAAAACCTGACAACTTTCTTCCGAAAAGAAGAATGTCAAAATAACAAACTCAACAAATGACGACAAAAATACCAAAATCAAGGACAAAAATTGCCCAGCTGGGAATATCATTAGCTAATTACGAATACAAGACTTGTCTGGTTTATAACTTTTCTTGTTATTATTGTCGTTGCCGCCATTAAGGAGCAAAAAAAAATTGGAGAACTTAATATGTATACTCAAAAATGGTCTGCACGATTCTCGAGACAATCCAATAGTAGACCACCTTGTTTCAATCGACCGACCAAGCTCTCCCTCGACCACCTTACATCAGCCGATTAACCAAGCTCTCTCCCTCGACCACCTGACTTCAATCGCATCAATCTCAAGACAATCCAATGGTCGAAATAAAAATAACTAAATGTCATTCGTTTCTCTCTTCAAAAGCATAACGAAATATGTAACTTTGGTGTATTGTACCTCAACTATATTTTATAAATAGGAGAACTTCATGATATAAAAGGAGAAACTTTTTTAGAAGCACCCCTCATATGTAACCCCTAATTTTAGTCAACGAGCCTAGGAACACCCAATTTCCCCCTCTATTGGGGAAAGTCCTTCTCACCTCTCTCTCTCTTCCCTCTCATTTCTCTCCCTCTCTCTTGATGCTCTCCCATCGGTCAAAATTTAACAGACAAATTTTGAGAAATCTTCAAAATAATAATAAAAAAAAAAAAGGTAGAAATTGTCATATATAACAAGAATTTCTTATGTAATTACATATCTCCTACCTAAACTTTCATATTTAATCATGCTTGTATGCTTAAAAATACTTATGTTTAAAAAGGCGAATTTTACTTTTTAAATATAAATATTTTTTATTTGATATGGAATATTTCAGTGGCATAGACGTAAAAAGTTAAATTTTTTTTATTGATATGTAAATATATAATAACTGGGCGGCATGTATGTAAATGCCTAAAAAAAAATAGAAGCTACCGGCGACCGAAAACAAATCTCCACCTGCTCTGTCGACGGCTGCGTTCGATCCGTGAAAAGAATAGCATACCGTGGAAGCAGAGGCAGTAGGAGATCTTGATTGCTCCAGTGTGAAGAAGAGGCAACAGCAGATGGCGGCTTTCGCGAAGCTGGAGGATTCCCCTATGTTCAGGAAACAGGTTTGACTCCATTTTTTTCGTTTTTTTTTCATGGATTACTAATTCTGTGCGCCGATCTCAAGCACTTGTCGTTGATTCCTGAAGAACCTTACTCACCAATCCTAAATGGCCGCACTGCTTTAGCAGCATCAATCTCGATCAACCCAGAACAAGCTAGCTGCTCACTGTTTGAATTACTTGAATATAGCCATGAAGCGGACGTGGAAGAAGAGTTTTTTTTTTGGGTTTTGTTGAACTCAGAATTGTTTTCCGTTCCATTTGGCATGTAGCATAATTCTCTCCCGCCTTTAATTGATTTGATTATTATGAACTTTCTAGTTTCTGTTCTTCCTGTAATTTAACTTTATGGTGCTGCCATTTACTTTTAGTTACTTAGTGTCTTATGATTTTATAATGGTCGACTTGCTTTGATCTTTAATTTACCAAATGAACTTGATGTTGTTTATTTATTATTTTTAAATTTCGAAAGGTTATTTTATTATTATTATGGTCAACAACATGAGTATTTGGATGCCATTTGTGAGATATGCACGCCTGTTAACCACCTAGATAGACCATATGTGGTTGATTTTTGGAAATACTGAATACTTTTGGTCTTTTATTTAAGACAAGGAAGCTGAACTTTTTCTTTAGTTACTTCCATTAAAGCAACAACAACAACAATGGCAACAACAAGCATCTATCCCACTAAGTGGGGTCGGCTTCATGAATCATTTTTCTTCATGTGCCCTATTGAATGACATATTTTCATTTAATTCTAATAAATTAAGAGCATTTGTTACACAACATACACACGCCTTTTAGGTCTTCCTCTACATTTTTTAACGTAAATTAAATCCAAAACATCTACTCTCTTAACGGAGTCTTGAGATGGTTGACGCTTAACGTGACTAAACCATCTAAGGTGACTCTCTCTAGATTTGTCTGTCACTAGAGCTATTCCAACGTTTTCACAAATATATTTGTTTCGTATTTTTTCTCTAAGTGTAAAGCTGCTCATCATCTTCAACATTCTCATCTCAACAACATTAAACTTAATTTTATGCTTTTCTCTTAAAGGTCTACATTTTGTGCCATAAAGCATTGCAAGTCTCATCACCATCTTATAAAATTTTCCTTTTAAGTCTAAACAATACTTTTATATCACACAATAAGCTCGATACATTACTACATTTCAGTCATTCAACTTGAATTCTACTAATAACATCCCTATCTATATCATCATCACTTTGCATAATCAACACAAGCTATCTAAAATATTAATTCTTTTTAATGACTTGACAACCAATTGTTATAGAACCACCACTAAATCTACAACTATTAAAATTACATTTCATGTATTTAATTTTAGATCTACTCAAACGAAAGCTTTTAGATTCTAAAGTTGACCTCTATGAATCAAGTTTTTCCTGAACTCTCTCTTTAGTATTACTCACAAGAAGGATATCATCAGCGAAAAGCGTACAACAATATACTTCTTGTAAATGTTCGATAAGGACATCCATGGCTAAAACAAAAATTTATGAGCTTAAAGCCAATTCTTGATATAATCCAACTGAAATAGGAACATGCTTGGTCAATCTTACTTGTGCTCAAACACAAGTAACAATTATAGTACACATATCTTCAATGACTTGAATATAAGCAAACACTCTTCATTTTCTACAACTCTCCAAAGTACTTCTTTTGGAACCTTATCATAAATTTTTCTAAATCAACAAAAATCATATCTATCTCTTCCTTACCATCTTTGTACTTCTTTATCAAACCTTTCAATAAATGTATATCATCCATAGTAAATTTGCCCGACATGGATCCAAATTGATTTTGAGAAGTTTTTGTATCACATCACGTTGTAACAAACAATCTTTCAAATAACTTCGTAGAGTTCATATTTCCTTATATTAAACATGATTAGATGAAGTCTAGAGTCCTCAAAGACTCGAAGAAAAAGGTACTTAGCATGGGAAGATGGATGATAATTGTTTTTGGCCATGCAGAGTAAAAAAATGGCTGATTTTTTGTTAGCTCTACCACCTTCTAATTAAGGAAAAATCAACTGCGGTAAAAATGAATTAATGACTAAACAAATATATTCAAGTTTTAGTGATCATTTTTATAACATACAAGGTCTTCATATGAATCCAAGCTCCTGGACTGGGTTGTGATAGACATCCAATTTTGAATATAAAGAATAATATTTTGGGTTTTTTTAATATAAAAATTCCTAGAGGGAGATTTCTCCCTTATGACTAGCATTCCTATGATGTAAATATGGACCTCCTTTCAGGATTGTAGACTAGGTTATTTGTTACGGTCTAATACTCTTATAGATGTCAACTGGCTTTCAAAAGATTTTATTTTTTGAATATTCATTCTATAACATAATGGAAACAGGCGATTTTTCCAATTTAAACTTTGTTGAAATTACTTCTATTAGAACTCACAATAGGACCTTTGTGTCTTTTGTAGTATCAATCTTCTACTATTTGATTTCATGCTTGTTCAATGCATCTGCTATGTTAGAATATGTTTGTTACATAATTGGTAGCCTTGCTTAAATCTATGAAAAATGCTATACTCGGTTATATTCATTGTCTTCTATCACTGAGCTTTTATTTAAATCTTGTTCTACATAATATTCATAATAGATTGTTATGCCATTTTTTTAGATGATTAATTACACTATTAAGATGCAGCGGGCTAATTTATTGCTAGCTTGTTATTATTATATTATTTAACTATGCCAACGGAATTAGTTTTCTCTGTTTAAGATCTTTTCTTTAGAACGAGAAGCCGACGAGCTAAAAGACCGCTGCCAAAAACTTCAAAAGGGATGTAAGAGATTTATGTAAGTATTTTTCTTTTTTTTTTCGTCCAAATGAATCACGTTAGTGCTCCCAAATTGTGGCTTATGTTGTTGTTGCTATCTATGGTTTTCTATGCACCAAAAGGTTTCATCTTCATCAACTTTCTTCCTTCACATGTAGGACAGTAAGCAATTAGCAAAGTTGCCACCTCATTAATCTCTTAATTTGAATTTAAAAAAAAAAAGGAAAAAAAGGATTTTTCTTACTCTTTAGATCTTACCTTCCTTCACCCAATCTGCTGGAATCCACTTTTTATAGCATTAGAAATGTTTGTGCTCTGAACATCATGATTCTATTTTTTCTAGGGCGTCCGTGTTTTGTTTTTTTTTCAGGGCATTAATTTGTAACGTGAGTTAGTCTTTTGCATATTCAGTTAGGCTTACAAAACGTCTAGTGGGTTAATGCAGCCAGCTTAATGTTTTAATGATTTTTTCTATTTGTAAAATTATTTATTATATATTTGATACTGCTGTTATTTTGTTCATTTTACACAGGAACTCAATTGGAGAAGCTTATGATGGAGATTTCTCCTTCGCAGAGTCATTGGAAGCTTTTGGTGCTGGCCAGGATGATCCTACAAGTGTAGCCATAGGAGGTTTGTCCTGTTGGATTGTTTCTTTATATATATTATGATGTTTCCAAAATAAATTGTTTAATATATTTATTAAAGAATATCAGCTTCTCTTGTTTTTGTATATTCTGATCATATTTATTGTAGGCTTTAGTCCAGTTAGTTCAAGTATACCTGCTTTTGTTATCTCTACTTTTTCTCATCATAATTATTATGGAGTGAAGTGTCAAAATAGTCCATTAACTATTTAAATGAAGTCATTTTAGTCCCAAAATCTTTTAAAGTGCCATATTAATCCCTCCACTCTTTTAATTTGAGCTGCAATAGTCTCTAGAGAGGGCTATCTAACATAGATTAAAAGAGTTTTGAAACTAAATCGACACTTATAGACTCTGGGACTAAAATGACCCCCATCGTAAAGAGTTAGAGGACCATTTTGACACTTTTCTAGTTATTGGATCCATCATAATTGCGAATCAATTAAGTTCATTTGCACAAAGGAATGTGCTTATTCGCAACAAAATCTACTATGAAACCATGTAAATGCTTGTGGCAACTAAGTACAACTTCACCAACCATGCATGAAGGGAGTTTTCATGTAATTTCATCCAAATTATAGGATACTTCAAAATACACGCTTGAAATGACTATAGATTATTCATATATTTTAATGTTGTTTTTCTCAATATTTGATGAATATGCTACTGCAGAGGTAAAAGGTTTCTAGTTCTTTCCATGCTATTTTAGTTATATCTAGATGTCGTTGACTGAAACTGCAATAAGAATCTAGCTTCTGGCATGCAAAGAACCTTTAACGACAAGCTAAGCGTTTCCATCTTTGATGCGGTATAGTTTTAAATGCATCACTTTCTATAATGACCATAGATTCATTTGCATGTTTAATACTAAAATCTTATTCAAATATCTATTAGACAAAAACAAAATGCTTTTTTGTAAAGCGCAATGTATAATTTAATTTACAATTAATATCAATATTATATGTTATCTCTTATTTTTCAAAACCAGCCATTGGTTCTCTTCCTTCGTATTCCTTCTGCCGTCCAACCTACTTGTGAAAAGGAGGAACAAAAGTGAGGATGTACTTTTGGTACGCAACTTGGAATGATATTTATACACTACTTACATCAAAAGAGAACACTCACAATAGGTTTCAACAGTAATTTTGTCTAATTAAACGTTGATATTCCACCATTCTATGATCTAAATGCAAATAATGAATTCCTTTTTATGGCAATTGGGTTAGAAAGCAAAGGCTAAATCTTTTGAAATAAAATCTAATTCCATCTGTAACATGCTAATTCAATCCTTAGAATATCCAAAAGGAGTATTCAACCAACTAAAAAAATATGAAACAATTTGGACAAAATTAACTGTAGGCCTATATTGCCTTAAAATTTGATTGATTTGCTTTGTTTAAGCTTAATTTGACTCATTATAATTGTCCCATGAGAGATTGAACTTTCTTGGGCATATTTTACAATCAATCAAATTGTTCTGCATAAATTCATCTAGATGGAAAAAAATCAAAGTTTTGAAAATCGGACTGAACATCAAATTAGTAAAGGAAAGATTCACTGTTCATTGGTTAACTGGGGTTGAACCGGAGGTTGGGTTGGACGACGCTATAAATATAAATACTAAATAAGTATAATTTAATAGATAAAATATTGATGTAATAATGATAAATATATAAACAAACAAACTAATAACAATTAAGAATTGAAAAAATTATCATAATTTAATATACACATTTATTTTATAATTGTAAATTTCAAATGAAAGGTGTAAAATTATAAGTATAATAACAGTGACTGATGAGTAAATAATCATATTAAAATAAAGTTTTAGATAAAATGTATAATATAATTAAAATAAAAATAAAAAACATGAAACCAAGTATGAAAAAGTAAAAACTAACATTGAATGCTCTCCTTTAATTATTTAGTCTGAGATCCATAAATTCGGAAATGCAAAACATGTCATAATTATTTTATATTTAAAAGCTTAAACTTGCAATCCACCGTAACTAAGTCGTTATTTAAATTATGCTACCTTCTGTTTCATTTCCAAAGCGAGAAGGCAAAGAGGCGGCGAAGGATTTGTCACAAAATTTATTACGGACCTTGGAATTAAATAAGACGAAACGGTTTGCAGGTCTACCGGTTGAACCAACAGTTCAACCAATTCTGAGGTTCACGGACAGATAGTGGTTTTTATATGGTTCGGATCAGACCGGTCACTGATTCATGGTCGAGCAACTGGTCTGGTCCAATTTTCTAAACCATGCAAAAAACCCTTCTTTTAGTATCTAGGGGATGGTCAATGTGGAGTAGGTGGCTCCTTTAAATCATCTAATGGAAGAGGCAATGCATTGTAGGACGTTGCAGGAGAAGTCCAACGAACATAGGAATTTGGAGACTTAGGTGCTAGGAGGCTCCAAACTTTTTACACCTATATGTTATCCTGCAATGTCTACCAACAATAGACTATTTTACGGCGGCTTTAAGAGAAGAAAAATATAATATTTGATGAGTGTTAACTATCTTAAATAGGAAGGTTCTCAATTCAGTAATTACATGGGATGTAGTGAAAGTGTAGATTTATTTATCATATGTTGCAACCTCTGAAGACCTTTATTAAGATGAATATAAGGACTCTCATATGATGTGTCACCATATGTGTATGTAAGGGTATCACTAGAGAATTTTGTAGAAGATAACCTTGGACAACTTTGATGCTAAGAAAATGAATTTATACCAATGTAAATTTAAGTAGATAATTTATTTGATTTGGATTGAAAATGATCAACGTGATAATGGTACAATGTATGAATCCTAATTTGAAAATCGAAGTCATAATAACCATTATATGTGTACAAGTGATGTGATCTGAAAGGATAAGATCGATATTTACAAACATGATCTTTTGGAGGGTGAATGTGAGAATGATTAAGATGAAGTTCATAATATGTTGATGTCCTTTATTTATGATAATATGTTGTCATCCAAATTTAATAGTTGAAGAGAAGATGAAGATGGAGAGACACGTTAGAGAATTTCTCTTAGTGCCTGCTAGGTGAATATAGTTCTTCCAGAAAGCGGGAAAGTTTATGCTGCAAAAGGATGAGGATAAGACGGGCAATAAATAGGTGAGAGATGAGACTTGCGGGATTGCTTTTTATGGCAATGAGGAAGCAAAAAGCAAGGGGGATCTCCAATCTTGTTTCAGACATGGCATTTGTTAAATGAACAACATAAGAAAAAGCTAGGGTATTGCAAGGTATGGACAACAGTTCTGAGTTGAGTAAGAGAAAAACAATTGAGAGAAGTGAGGAGGAGGTTGCAATTGCAATTATATGGAGGTTTGTGAGTGAAAAATGATGATTTGGGGTGAAATCAATACTAGATGTGTAGAACATGTGAGTTGAGGGAACTAGCCTGAAATGGAAGGGGCCATATGATGCATTTTTCTAGCACATGGATATTTCAAGTTTAATCATCTTCTTAGATATTGTTGTATTTTGTTTTTTATTAATCAAACTCTAAAGCTTTCATTTAACCTTCTTATGCAGGGCCCGTCATGTCAAATTTTACCACTGCATTTAGGGAAATTGGCACTTACAAAGAACTACTTCGGTCTCAAGTAACTTTTTTGTGCAATTCTTTTTTGTTTTCAATTTGTTATTACGAGAATCATTAACTATGCGATGTATTTGTGGGAGGGTTTGTAATGACACATTTTTCATGCTTTTAATGAAAATATTTTAGTTGCATAAAAAGGAATGCCTGTCATTAATATGCTGAAGTTAGTAAGATATTTTTATGGAATGTTAACATACAATAGAAAAATAGTTTCCAATTACAGTATAAGTAAGATAACATTAAGGATTACCTATAAGTTCGTGCGCGTGTATATGTACATAATTTTATATGAATTGCTAAGATGGTTTTAAAATATTGTGGTAATGAAGTTCATGAAATGATAATTCTCAACCTGTATAATTTAAAGAACAAGTGATGCTTGAGCTTATTAAAATTAAATATTTTGGATCTATTTTACAAATGAATGTGATATAAATCATGATATAGCTATTAGAATTGAACATGTGGTTAAAATAAAGAAGTGCTCTGTTGGTTTAAATATTCGGCCTTGCTGGAAGAGTTGTTCATTGGCACTTGTTGAAATTAAAAGCTTAAACTATAAAATTGTAACTAAATCTAATCTGATGTTTAAATACAAATGTTCGGCTGCAAATGTTGCCAATATTTTAGTACAATGCTTCTGTTTAAAATAAAGTGAATGAGATGAACTATTCCATCTGCAATAGTATCAACATAAGGTTCTTTTAAGTTTGATTGAGCAATAAAAGTATAATTATTGGAAGTATTACGTCCTTCAATTCATCCTTTTTCTTCGGAAGAAAAAGTAGTATTTTCTTCATGCGGGCTTGGTTGGTTGGAATTGGATTAATTTACTCATATCGGTATTTTGGTTTATGAAGAAACTTGATTTCAAATAGGATGTCAATAGCGTGATTTATAGGCTATAATTTCAAATAGTGCTGATTTTACGGAGATTAATTTTAGATTTGATAGAGTTTATTTAGTAAGTTTATGGAGGATAAGCATGGTCAGAAATGTAGCGGAAACATTTGAACTTTGAAGGTTTGTTGCTACATTCATAGAGAAAATCAATGCGTTTGTAGATGATTGGACAATCGAAACTACAATTTGATTTTGAATCTAAAATTGACATTTGATTTGATTTGATTTTAAATGAATGCTAAGGATTTTTTAGTTTATCATATTTATTGCATAGATAAAAGTAAAGATTGTGAGTAGGGATTTAAGGATGCGGCACAAGGATCTTATCTCTCTCATAGCCTCCCTTCTTCTTTAGGTGGCTTCTCCACCTTAATCTTGGGATGAGCATGTGGCTGCCCTAATGTAAGGATGTGGAAAGAAGTGCCTATTTCTTAATGATTTGGCTTCCCTTTTGATGACATGATTGGTTGGTTTGATTTATGTTCCTTCACTTGATTCAGGTATATGTGAGTTCATAAACTCCATATAGCTCATCTAATTGGGTTTGGGTTAGTCCAGTTGTAGTAAAACATCCACCGATTGACTCAAAAGCTTTGCCAATTGATAGCATGACTCAATGTGTGGAGAGTAGGGGTGCAAACGAGCGAGTCAAGTTCGAGCTACCCTCAGTTTGAGCGTGACTAATTAATCGAGTTTGAACTCGAGCTTGAGCTTACTTTTACGAGTTTGAGCCAACACGTTTATTATGAAATAAAGAAAATAATATCAATTCAAGTTATTGTTATAATAAAATGACAAATAAAATGAGAAATTAGGAGATAATTATAAGAAATCACTTGATATAAAACATAAAATATTATTTTTAAAATATTTTTAATAATTTAAAGATAAAAAATTTTGAATTTTAATATATAATTGAGTATATTTTTTATTAATTTTTTTAAAATTAGCAGACTCACAAGTTAACGACTTTAGTAGGCTAGCTTGAGCTTGGCTTGTTTGCTGACCATCAAGCTTAATTCACAAGCCACTTATTGAACCAAGCTCGAATTGGTTCACGAGTGTTGACCTCAATTTTTTCGTGAGGTCTAGTATTCCTCGTAGGAGTTAGGATCTAGCCTTAGGGGTCTTCCTGCGACTATCTTAGAACCTTAGAAGTGGGACCCGCCTCGTTTTAGTTCGAC